ATATGTGTGTGTAGTCCTGGGTGTGTCCTTCAGGGCAAGCCAGCGTATGGCTGCCTTTTCCCAGTGGGGCTCAGTGCTGACTCAGGAGGCTGTGGGACAGAGCGTCTTATTTCTCGCTAGAATGAGGGTATGGTGGAGATGCGGCCTCAGCTTCTAGGTGCTCTCTGGTGGTGCTGTGGCCAGTGTGCAGGTGGGTAGCCCGCTTGTGTGTCAGGTGAAGGCTGGGAGGCTCACATGCGCCCATCTGTTTGCAGTTAACGGTGCACCTGCAACCTTCACCATCGAGGCCTGTGAGGACCCTGGGGACTGGACCACGGCCATTGGGGGTACGCTGCCCACCCGTGCCCTTGGCTGAGGGTGGGGCTTCATGGGGTGGGGCACGGGGAGCCATGCCTGCTTCCCGGTGTTCTTCCTGGCTCTGCTCTCGAGCCCTCCTTCCTCCACAGAGGACACTTTCGCCTTCTGGCGGGGCCTGAAGGATGCCGGGCTCCTGGACGAGGTCATCCAGGAGTTCCACCAGGATCTGGCGGGGACCATGAAAGGCCTGCAGCAGCGTGGCCAGGAACCCCCGCTGCAGCTGCGAGGTAAGGCCCACAGCTGGGGGCACTTGGAGTGCCTGTGCTAGGTGGGGGTCCCCAGCCCCCTCCTTGGGTGACTGAACAACCTGTGCACCCTCAGATGCGATTCTCCTCAACAACGTGGTGCAGAACTTTGGTATGCTGGACCTGGTCAAGAAGGTGCTGGCCAGCCACAAGTGCCAGATGGACCGCTCCCGGGAGCAGTATGCACGTGACCTGGCAGGTAGGGGTCACTGGGCTCCCCTTCCTGTGGGAGCTGGAGGGGACCTCAGCCAAGGAGAAAACCTGCTAGACGGCACAGCCAAGCGTGATCAGGGGCCATGTGTATGTGTGTGTGGTGGGCAGGATGGACATGTATGTGTGCATGTATGAGTGTGGTCAGAGGTGTGTATGTATTTATGTGTGGTCAGGCTGTGCATGCAGTCCAGCTGTGTGTGTGCTCACGTACTAGTGGTCAGAGGCGTCTGCACTCATGCCGCCCTGATGGCCACCCCCCTGCAGCCCTGGAGCAGCAGTGTGATGAACACCGGAAGCGAGCCAAGGAGCTGAAGCACAAATCCCAGCACCTGAGCAACGTGCTCATGACGCTGACACCCGTGTCCCTGCCGCCGCCTGTGAAGCGCCCTCGACTGGCACGGGCCACGTCAGGGCCAGCCGCCATGGCCTCCCAGGTGTTGGCGCCATCCACACAGATTGCCCTCACCCAGGGTGTGCCCGTTTCCCAGCTGGCCAGCATGCCCCTCAGCAAAGTGATGTCGGCTCTGCCGGCCCCCGCCCTGAGCAAGGGGCCCCCTCAGGCCCCGCCGGCCAGCGCCCCTGCCTCCCCGCTGCTGGGGGGCTACACGGTGCTGGCTTCCTCGGGCACTCCCTTCCCTGGTGCTGTGGAGGTGCACCCGGATGCGCCAAGCCTGACAGTGCTGAGCACAGCCGCCCTGCAGGACGGCAGCACTCTGGTCAAGGTGGTGAGCCCACTGCAGCTGCTGACACTGCCCAGCCTGGGCCCTGCTGTGCAGAACGTGGCCCAGCTGTCCCCTGGGGCTGTGGCCACGCCGGGGACTGAGGAGCACACAACCACCATCGAAGTGGCTGCAGTGGCAGAAGACCATGAGCAGAAGTAGCAGAGACGGCGAGGCCTCTGGGAGTCGTCCGCTCGGCTGCCTCTCCTAGGCCCAGGCTGGGGGCTCGGCAGAGGGCCCCAGGGGCTGCTGAACCAAAGAGGAGAGTCTCAGGCAGAGAAGGGCACACAGCTGCCTGTTCACTCGGCCTATAGGCTGCTGCCACCCCTCTCTGGGTAAACAGGTGTTTCCACCTGTGGCTTGTTGATGTTGTTTACATATGGACCTGAGCAGGAGGGTGGGCTGGGGTGTGGGGCCCCCTGCTCCCCGGTCAGCAGCGTGCCCCGCGGGCCCCGTGGGATCCGAGTCGGTCAGGGAGGACTTGATGACGTGTCTTGGGAACAAGCCCAAGTGTCTGCATTGGATCCTGTGGATTCGGTCCTCCAATCTGTCGGCAGCAGGGGGCAGCCTGGCTGCGCCTTCCACCTGCACACACTTCTCTGCACACCCACTCCACTCGGTTTCCCATGAATCACTTAGGCTGGTACATCTAGTCAAATGTATGCATTTTCAACCGAAACGAGGCTGAATACCTGTCCAGCCCTCATTCTGGCTTCAGGAGCAGCCCTGGAATCTGGGCCTTCAGGTGCTGGCATGGCTCCATCCACCCACAGCCCTGGCCTGGGCCTCCTAGCCTGAGGTCACGAGCAGAGATGGCGTGGTGGAGGATTCTGGGAGATACAGCACCTTGGAGCCCCAGGACAGCTGTGGGTCTACCCTGGCCACTGCTCAGGGTCCCTGTTTTCAGGATGTACTGCTGTGAGGTCCAGCCCCTGGGCTGGGGGGGATACAGGCTGGTTGGTGGCAGGATCTGTGTGTGGGGCTCCTGAGAGGTCAAGGTGGGGACTGAGTCGCCCACACAGAGCCTCACCCTGGCTTTGCAGGGCCTTGCTGACAGGCAGTGGCTACAGGCATTTCCTACTGCCCACACAGTCTAGAGCCATCGTCCCTCCATCCGTTCATCTTCCCACCTGCCGAGAACCCTGTGCCCATGCAGCCTGCCCTGTGACCTGAAGGCCCCACCCCACAGCGAGCTACTGAAGGTGCATCGTCCTTCACTGTGTCAGGCGGTATGGACTTGACCATGTACATACTCATTCCTGAGACTCAGCTTGACTCCATAGTCCCGCTCCTCAGACAGCCCCCAGTCTCGGGCGCCTGCCCCAAGACATCCTAGTCACACCCCTGGGTCTTGGTGGCCCCTCCTGACCAGCCCTAACTCCAAGTCTGCTGAAGCATCCATCAAGAAGGCGTGGGCCTGGTGGCCCTCATCGGAAGCTGCCTGTATTCCCTCCCGCCTCTGTCCTCACTCAGAGTCCAGGCTGCCCTGGGTGGGCAGGGGCCTTTCAGTACAGAGGGCAGCAGGCACCCAAGGTCACTTTGTATTTGGTTTCAAGTAAATACATCTTTTCCTAAACACTGTGCCTCTTGCAGTGGGAGAGTGTGCCCACAGGGCAGGGACCTCAGTGTCTGTGCCGGGGGCACACTGACCTTCCCCCCTTGTTCTGGGGCTCTTCCAGCCGACCTGGTGCCTGTGCCTCTGGGTACCTGTGACTGGTCCCTTGGCTGGGTCCTTGCAGCCTGCCGACCTAAGGAGCTGAGCTGGCTCTCGGCTCGTACACACACCTCGGCCCACCTGGACGCAGGCACATGGCCACGCTGACAGGCTGAAGAGACTCAGTGTGCCTGGGGGCGCTGGTGCAGCCCCAATCTGGGCTCCACCCATGAGGCGCAGTGACTCGGTTGACCAGGGCACCCTGTGTGCCCGTGGCGCCTCTGTCCTCGTGCCCTCACAGGAGCTGTGCCCCCACCACCACCACAGACACGCAAGCTCACCCTGCTGTGCATTTTTGGATGGAGGAAGGGTGTGGGGGAGCGCCATGTGCAGACTACAGGGACTGGTTCCTGGGGGGCTTGGAGAGTGGAGGGCTGGTGGGGGAATGGAAGACGTTTGGAGGGGCAGGCCCACGGGAGGTAGTCCTGGTGGCCATTGCACTTGGATACAAGCTGGGCATGCAGAAAGAAGAAGCCCCAGGGGAGGGCACTGACAAGGGAAGGGAAGGAACCCCTGCAGTGCACTCTCCCCCAGGGGACCTAGGAACCTCTTGGAGGGGGCAATGGGACTGGATTTAAGGTCTGGAAAGTGCAAGGCCCTGGGTGGGGAGGGCATGCTGGGGGATACAGCCTGCCTTCCTGTCTCTGGGCTCACCCAGAATGGAGTCTCTCTCCCCCACTGCTGGTCAAGCAGGGACTCAGGCTACACTCCTGATCTGCCACTTGGGTCACTGAGGCAATCTGCAGGTCAAAGGGCATTCCACTGGCCTGGGTGACCGATGACAGCAAAGTCCAGAGGCCAGCACCTCAGCAGGTGGCTGGTAACGTCCCCTCTTCTCTGGGCTGGCCATTGGCATGCTGGGAGGTGGTGCACTAGCCTGTGGTCCTTGGAGAGAGCACCAGGAAGAACGGCCGGAATATCCGAGCCAGCTGGTCACCCTGGTGCAACCCTGTCTGACTGGTTCAGCCCCAGCGCAGCAGGGACTGACCTCTGCACCGGGGATCAGAAGCCGGTGCTCAGCCAGTGAGTGTGGACCCAGGTGCTGAGTCTGCTCTGGGCAGAGTATGGTCTGCCATCCACACCTTGGTTCCCCCTTGACCCCCTCCAAAACTTCCTCCTGAGCCACACCTCCCCACCCCTAAGACCCCAGCTCACCCTGTGTCCATGCCTTTTCCATCTCAGGAGCCGGTCAGAGCCCAGGAGTGCCCTCTCCCTCCCAGTCCCCACCCAGCAGGCCCTCCATCACGTCCCTTGCCTCAGTCCCCAATAGGACTTACTGCTTCAACCACTCTTAAGTTGGACCCTGCCCCTCAGGAAAAGCTCCCAGGGCTTGGGGAGATCTCCGTCTGCAGGTGGAAGCACCGCCCGTCTCAAGCATGGCTCAGAGCTTGGTGTCCTGAACCTGGCCCATTTGTGTGCATGGCCGGTGAAACAACACAGGTTTCCTCCAGCTGTGTACAGCTATGGCAGGGGCCAGCTACCATGGCCTTCCTAGCCTGGCTCCCCATGTGACGCATTATGCTTCTGGCCCTCATCGGCCTGCGGCTATGGGCCTGTTTGAGAGGGTGTTGTCCTCCATGCTGATGGCCAGACACCATCTTTTGTGTGGGGTCTAACTGCTGCCCCCGTTTCCTGGTTGCGCTTTGGTACAGCAGGAAGACCGGCCGTGGTTGAGACTTCAGGGTCAGGCATGGCCCTTGGACTTTGGACAGAATGGCACCTTCCACCATGTGAGGCGTTTGCTCAAGGCCCTCTGAGTTTCCATGTCATGTTGCCAAGAAGGCTGAGGACCCGGAGCAGACTTGCCTCTTGGGCATTGGGACATCTTCGATCTCCAACTCCTTGGGCCTACTTTGGTATCAATTCTTAAAAAAGAAATTAATACCACATCTCACCATAGGGAAGTGGTTACAGCTATCACATGAGGGATGAGATAATGGAATGTCTTCCCAGTGTGGCCCATGAAGGATATAAATAGCAAAAGGGTCCTTGACAGAAAATAGGCCCCCTCCCCCCTGCTCCACAGGAGGCAAACATCAGTCTCAAACTGCGTGGGCTTTCTACACGCGCCTGTTTTCGGGGCAGCCTGGCTCGGTAGCTTCTGAGGAAATCGCAGCCTCCCTCTGGTCACCTGGGCTTGTGTCATCATCCCCGTTGGCCTCTTGGTGTATTCTGAGGGTCGGTAATTAGGTAAGTACAAGTTCATGATTGATGGAGCATCTTGTTTCAACTCAAATGTAGTTCTGCCTCACAGCAACCCTGTAGGCCAGAGTAGAGCCATCTGTCCCCCTCTGGTGCCCCAGTTGGGAAAATCTCGATGGGAACAGTCTCCTCTTCTTCCCTCTGAGTGGCTGGGGGCTTGGGGCTGCTGACCCAAGCAGCAAGGTCAGCAGCCGGCACCACGTGTGTGGGCTGTGCCGCTGATCTGGGGGGTTCGGTGGAGTAGTGCACGGTGGGGAGGGGTTTGTTTCCATCCCAGTCCCAAAGGGCTGGTATATACGGGGTGGGGGTTGTCCTCCTCACCCCCATGCATGCACGCTGATTCCTCGTTGCCCTAGACTCCAGCCTCTGGCTAGCATTGTGGCAAATCACACGTGTGCCTTGGGTGGGAACGCGCCTGGAATCTTCCCTTCCCTCGTCTCTCTTTGGACCTCGTTATTGTGGCCTCGTGTTCTGGTGTTTCTTTCTTAAGGAGCAAACAGGTGTGTCTGGTGCCTCCTTTTCAAGCCCACTCGAGTTTGACCCCATCACCGAGCAGCTGTGTGACCCTTCACCAAAAACACCACAGAATGTTTCTTTTTTTTAAATCATTTTATTGGGGGCTCATACAACTCATCACAATCCATACATACATCCATTGTGTTGCACATTTGTAGCCATCATCATTCTCAAAACATTTGTTCTACTTGAGCCCTTGGCATCAGTTCCTCATTTTTGCCCTTCCCTCCCTCATAAATCCTTGATAATTTACAAATCTATTATTTTGTCATGTCTTACACTGTCCTGTCCGATGTCTCCCTTCACCCACTTTTCTGTTGTCTGTCCCCAGGGAGGTCAGGTGTAGATCCTTGTGCTTGATTCCTCTCTACCCCACCCTCCCGGTATTGCCGCTCTCACCACTGGTCCTGACCGGGATCATCTGTCCTGGATTCTGTGTTTCCAGTTCCCATCTGTACATCCTCCTGTCCAGTCAGATTTGTAAGGTAGAATTGGGATCATGATAGTGAGGGGGAGGAAGCATTAAAAAACTAGAGGGAAGTTGTATATTTCATCATTGCTACACTGCACCCTGACCGGCTCGTCTCCTCCCCTCGAACCTTCTGTAAGGGGATGGCCAGTTGCCCACAAATGGCCTTTGGGTCCACACTCCACACTCCCTCTCATTCATAAATGATGTGATTTTTGTTCTTTGATGCCTGATAACTGATCCCTTCGGCACCTTGTGATCACACAGGCTGGTGTGCTTCTTGTATGTGGGCTTTGATGCTTCTGTGCTAGATGGCTGCTTGTTTACCTTCAAGCCTTTAAGACCCCAGACACTATCTTTTGATAGCCAGGCACCATCAGCTTTCTTTACCACGTTTGCTTATACACCCACTTGCCCTCAGCGATCGTATCAGGAAGGTGGACACAAAACATCTCATAAGAAAAAGAAAAGACTAGTTGCTCAGCACTGACCACAAAGAAGGGTGAGGACACAGGGCTTGGCATGCCGGGGGATGGAAGTGGAGGCAATGTGTTACTGATGGACACGTATGTGCAACCACCTGGAGGAGGGCACTGGACTGCTGTGAGGGGTAGCTGGGGCTGGGCTGGCTTCTCCGCACCTCGAGAGCAGGACCAGCTGTGTGGGCTCTGCCCCACGCATTGGTGGGATTGCTCTAGGCCCCGGTCCCCATCCTGGCAGTCCCATCTGGGATCTTGCCCTTTCCAGTGAGGGTGGGTGTGGGTGGCACTCACGTGCCCCAGTGCAGAATGTCTGGTCCCAGAAACCCACAAGGCCAGTTCTGCCCTGTCCTACAGGATCGCTGCTGAGTCAGCATACACATGATGGCAGTGGGAAGCCTGCATTCGGCCCACAGTCCAGAGGACACCGGAGGCACTGACCCACGCCTCCCCAGCGTCCCTGTGATGTCTGGTGACAGGGCCATTTGAGTTTGAGGTCTGCCAGGCCGTGAACATACCTTCACAAACACACCTCGAACGTGTGCACACTTGCTTACACACATGCAGGCACAGATGCAGGTCTGCTCAGAAACCACCACTGGGCTTCCAGCACACCTTTTTTTTGCTCACACAGGATGGGCGTGATGTGACGTTCTCCCTGTGGTTTCCTCCGCCTATGAGTGTGACTGTTAACCCATGATCCAGTGTGCACCAATGGTCGTGTGGCCCTGTTTTCTCCTGGAGAAGCTTTTATTACACAGATGTACCACGGACGTACCACGGATGTACCGCAGTTGGCTTACCTAGGGGCCTGCTGAGGGCACCTGAGTTGTTCCGAACTTGGGGCTACTGTGAATAAGGAGGGCTGGTGGCATAGTGGTTATACATTGGACTGCTAACCACAAGGTCTTCAGTTCAAATCCACTGACCACTCTGTGGGAGAAAGATGAGGTTTTCTACTCCCAGCAAGACTGACAGTCTTGGACACTCCCGAGGGCAGTTCTGCTTGTCCGATGGGGCCACTGGGGTGGCATTGACGCAGTGGCCGTCGTGATGAGTGAAGCCGCGTACACCCCAGTCGCTCCCTCCATCTTCCCTCCCTCCTGGCTTTTTGTTTTTAAGCAGTTTTATTTGTATTTCATCCACATGTCATACAATTCAATAATTCAATCCTATCAAGAAGAATTATGCAGTTG